TCCTCCTCCTCCTCCTCCTCATCATCATCAGCTTGGTTTTCCCAAAGTATTTACGGTCCCAATCACTGCAAGATCTTGTAGACAACTACCAGTGTCTCGGTACACGGCACCGTGTTCTTAGGTTGCATCATACCGCTGTGAACTGTGGCCCATGGCTTATCGATCTTGTCTACTCCAGTGGGTTTTGACAGTCGAGAGACCATTTCGAGGTAGAAGCAGGCAGTCAGGCTCCCTCCCCCAACTGAAAAAAATTGATGCTTTTTCTGACGCTCCGAAATCACGCACGGGTTCTTCATCAGGGAGTGCAATTTTTCCAGTCCTATTTTGCACTTTTATCGGGGTAAGTTCAGTCGATTTATTGAGCTGTTCACGACCCCAAGTTCAGAACGTCTGATAAGCGTGCCTGTTTTCCTTGAGATTGAAATAGTTCCTAGCTCGGCTGTTCTTTTGAGAACTGCTGCTCTCCTTTACCCTTCTCTCATTTTTTCTGCCTTGACAGACTTTTGCAATTATGACGATGTTGCATGTGTCTGTGTTTTTTTATTCCTTAAACCCTCACCTTTTGAGTCTCCCTTTTGAGTATATCTTGTTTTCCATCTCCAGGCTCCTTCTTGAATATTTCTCAAATGATTGCCTGCGTGGGACAACAGATCATTGGAGGCAAGCGAGTACCAGACTCACTGAACGGTCGCAGTCTTATCCACTTTCCGCCGGGTTCTCGAACGCCGGCCGCAAAGGGTTTTGTTAAAAACAGCTTCTACACCGGTCTGACGCCCTCTGAATTCTTTTTCCATGCCATGAGCGGTCGCGAGGGTCTCACGGACACCGCTGTAAAAACGGCAGACACTGGCTACATGCAACGACGAATTGTCAAGGTAAGTGTAGGCGAAGTATGGTCAGCGTAACTTGTCGGTTCTGCTAGACCAGTAGAGTGTCCTAAAAAGTGTAGCCTTCGTGTTGTCCGGCATCTGTCGCGACCAGCATCTTCTCTTATCGTCATTTTTCGTGCCATGTTCCACGATAAGCGTTTATTTGTACCTTTAAGTCTTCTGTAATTAGTATTATCCAAACAGATTGCTGATTTAGATTGCAAAAGCCTGACAGTTTGCCTGTCGCAGATAATACTGCCCTCGTCGAGTTTGGTGGTAGTGGTGGTGGTGGTTTTTGTGTTTGTCTCAAGAGGTGGGGTTTACGTTTTTTTTTGTGTTAATATTTTATTGAGTCTAAAATGTCCAGAGGCCAGTCCGTGTCCTGAATTTCTTTCAAATATTGGCATGCTTTAGTTCCTTATGTGCAGTAGGCTTCCTAGTTG